CTTTAAAGAGACTTATGAATACTTTACTACAGACACACACAAAAAGGTTAATAAAAAGTTTATTTACAAGAGGAAAGGAAATAAGAAAAATGTACAACTCAGGGAGAGAATAGGGAAATAAAGTCTTTAATGCGTCCTACCCGATCCGACGACCTGGAAAACCCAAAGTCACTCTCAGAGCTGGCTGGACGCTGCAAGCTGGTGGAGAGCCAAAAATGGGTCCCCCAAAGCCCACATGTCTGCCTTTTATATCCACCTGGCTGCTTAACCCCACCCTCAGGTCCCAGCCACCTTCCCTTTGGTGGTGATGGGATTTGGAGTTCCCAGTGTCTTTGGCTTTGACCTGGGGTGGGGGTGGAGTCCACAAAGCCTATATGGAATTTGCTTTGGGACATCCTTTTCCCCCTAACAATTCCATACAGGCTTTGTGGACTCCACCCCCACCCCAGGCCAAAGCCAAAGACACTAGGAACTCCAAATCCCATCACCACCAAAGGAAAGGTGGCTGGGACCTGAGGGTGGGGTTAAGCAGCCAGGTTGATATAAAGGCAGACACGTGGGCTTTGGGGGATCCCCCGTTTTGGCTCCTTGCCAGCTCACAGCATCCGGCCAGCTCTGAGAGTGCCTTTGGGTTTTCCAGGTCGTCGGATCGGGTAGGACGCATTAAAGACTTTATTTCCCTATTCTCTCCCTGAGTTGTACATTTTCCTTATTTCCTTTTCCCTTGTAAATAAACCTTTTATTAACCTTTTGTGTGTGTGTCTGTAGTGGAGTATTAATAAGTCCCTTTTAAGCCCGTGGGTGAGGACCCACAGCCAGGAACCCGTTCAATATCGGCGCTGCCCTATAACAGCAGCAATGGGGACGCCTGGCACTGAATCCTCCTCCAAGTGTCTGGCCCAGGATTAGAACTCACACAGCACCTTGCAATTATCTGCATGTAGGGTTTTGCTAACAGAACTGTGGGATAGAGGATAGCCCTTTGGTTTTCATTCCTAAACAGAAAGAATGCTGTTGCCAAGGGCAGACCTTTTAGAGTGCCCTGCAAATACTCCCCTACTGGCTATCACTCTGCTGGGCTGGAGCTCTGAGGAAGCAGCAAACTTATTCCTCTCTTGCTTCCGGCTCCCGGCCCAGGGGCTAGTAAAGTAGCGAATGAGTTGAGAACAAATACATCTCTGGCAGGTTTAAAATTTTAAAAAGTGTGCGTACATGTGTGCATGCTGCCTCTGTGTGCACACTGCCTAGGTGTGCACACACACATATCTGCAGGAGCCCCAGGGGGTCTCAAGGCTCTTAAGGGAGCCTCACCTAGACAGCTTGTTAGTAATATGAATCCTTTGCCCCTGAAGCAAAGCTAGTAAACTTCTGATTCAGTGATCAGCAGTTCTGCTGGCAGGGCTGGGAAATCTGAATTTTAAAGAAAACTAACTCTTTGGGCAATTGTCATGCATATAGAAGTTTAGGAATCATTGCCTGAAACAATCCAGCTTTTGAGATCTAAATAGCTAATTCCAGCCTGAATTTCTGGTTTGTCTGGCAGTAGAGGGGATTCCAGGTAGGAAAGCACACTGCTATTTGCACACCCTAGAGAGGTAATAACCAGGCTGAGGATCAAGCAGGATCATAGGGAATCAGAGGTGGGCCAGAGCCCCAGGCCATCTGTGTGCGGGCAGGAACACAGAATCCCATTTCTGGGTGTTCCCTGAGAAGGGTAGCTGGGAGAAGAGCTCCTAGGAAGCTCAGCCAGAGCTGGGCCCCAGGCTAAGCTGGGTTCTCAGGCTGGGATGCAAGGAAGAAATCGCTCCTTCTACACGCCTACCCAGAGCCTCAGGCCCAGCTCCCAGCCGAGAGTGTGCACACTGAATCAATTGAAATCGAGTCACGGATATAATTAATTTAATGTGTTTAAACGATTTTCTGTATAGTAAACATGGTGAATGAGGGTGACCTAGAATAAAGTGTCTGCCTGAGACTGGAAAAATGGATGCCGTGTGTGCAGTATAATGAAAACCTCCAGCAAATAGAAAAGGCTTCCATTTATTTCCACCTCCCTTGTTCCTTTCCTTTCTGGCTTTTTATTTACGGCTGAACTTGGCCTTCTGTGGTCTCCTTCGACCACAAGGACACTTTTTATTTTGTCAGAAGGTGTCCTTTTTTCTGTGATCAGAAGACAATTTTAACAAAACCTGTCTGCAATCCAGTGACAAGCACAAATTAATGTGTGACAAATGAGATAGAGGTGGGGGGGGTGAGTAAAGAACTGTTTCACTGTTGCAATCTCTTTCTCCACTAAAGGGGAACTTGCACAAAGAAGAGGTAGACAGCACAGAGGGCTGGGGGTGGTGTACAACCAATCCTAGCCTGGCCCTGGCCAATGGTCTTTCCTTCTGATTTTGAAAGCACCCTTCCTGGACCTCAGATTCTCACCTATAATACAAGGGGGGTTGAATTTGAGGATGTTTAAAACTGTTTTCAGTTCTGACATTTGCCAAATTATGAGTCACAAACCAGAGCAGAAGCGTGTGTCAAGGAATTTTTCATTAAAAAGAAACTCATCATCAAGTCCTGTAATGCGTTTCAGGCAGTCTTGTCTAATTGCTCATCAAGTGGGAATTATACATTATTCGGCTTAGATGAAAGGGAGCACTGGAAGTGGTTATAAATTCTCTCCAACTAAGACGTATCACATATCCAGGCAAAATGCTGAGTTCTAGGGCGAGGAGAGAGAGGGCAGAATGCTTCCTAGATTCTGTAGCTCTCTAGCCAGTCTTTTCAACTCAGATTAAATAAGAAATAAAGGGGGAAAAGATGATCCTGATAAATGCACCCATGCACCCATGTACCCATGTTTTGAAGCCACTTTGTGCCAATGCTACCCTTGGGACCGGGAAAATCTTCTCTGTCTCTCAAAGAGAAAGGACTTCTCAGTGCCTGGGGTGCTGGGGAGCCTTGCAGGAGAGGTCTCTGGGCTGCATCAGGTAGGCTGAATGGGGGGGGGGGTCTGGGAAGGGGTTCCTGGGCTGGCAAGGTCTGGGTTCCTCTTGCATTCAAGCACAAAGCTCCTCTTTACTCTGTGTTATGCACTGGGCACCATGTGAGATTTGGTAACAAGAGGATCTGAGGATAAAACAGCAATTTTTTAAAACCACTGGTCTGAGCTGTTCAAGTTTCAGGTCTGATAATAGGCTGTGCTGTCAACACAGAGTCTGCCCAGAACCAGAGAACTGTTACATCTCCACTGTGGGAACAGACGCCCAGACCTGCAGGCCGAGGCTGGCTCTCCTCAGGGACCTTGGAAATCCAAGGTCCACTTTGTTGTTAGCAAACCCCCATGGTTCAAAACTCTAGCGTTCTTCGGAGTCACCTGGAGGGGCTGTTCAACCTCAGGTGGCTGGACCCCAGTTCAGAGGTTGGAATCCAGGGCGTCTAGGTGGGGTGAAAGGAGTGTGCATGCCTAACCAGCTCACAGAGGGCTGGTGCTACCTCACCAGGCGCACTTGGAGAATCCTGGGCACGTAAGAAAAAGGCCATCTCCATCAAGTGTCCTTTTAGAATTGGGACCTGACGTACCTTTCCAGCCTCATCACCCTCCTTTCCAATATTCCTGACAAAGTAATTGTCCCCCCACCCTCCACATCCAAGCACACGCTTCTTCCTTATCTCCTCTGCCTGTCTACAGCATAGCACAAAGGCTGCCTCTTTCAAAACACCTTCCCTGACGCTTTCACAAAAGATCACAGTCTCTTGTGGTATGAGCACCTTTTTCTTTTTTTTAAACCTTTTGTCATGTCCATCTCTCATTTTGGTCCAGGCCTTGCCTCTGTATCTGGACCCTGGGCTCCAGAATAGGAGTCCACCTTCTCCACCAATGAAATCCAGACTGTATGTCTGCACTTGCAGTACCTGCACGGGCCCTGACCTCCCAGACCCACCATGCCACCCAGAGCACACACATGATGGAATATAAGCATTTAAGAAATGTACCAGTCAACATCTGATCTCTTCACACCCCAACACAGACCGATTCTACAAGTGAGTTCACAGGAGAGTACTTATTCAGCTTAGTCTTCAGACACGTTTTCCACATTTTTTGGGAACAGAGTCAAGTGACAAATAGATCATTATGAGACATAAATAACTACCACTTATGTCCATTACCAAATGTGGTATAATGCAGCAATGAAGAGTCAGATCCAGGTTCAAATCCTGGCTCTACCACTGAATGGCTGGAGACCCTAAAAGCTCCAAGCTCCAGACTCCTCACCTTTCATAGGGATAATAACAGCACCTACTTTCTGTGGAGGGCATATGGATAAGACCAGTATTAACAACAACAATTACAGCATCTATTGAGCACCTACTATGTGCCCAGCATTGGACATGCATTACTGGGACTTACACAAAGGGCTTATTTTAGCACAGAATCTAGAACAATATAACCACTCAGGAAATTTTAGCTATTATTATCATTGCCAATTTTCCCAGCTTCTATGAAAGGCAAATATTATCACCCCTTTTCCAGATGAGAATTTTGAGACTCAGACAGAGCAAGGAGCTTGTTGAACAACTTCATAGATAGCATTTTTTTTTTTGCTTATCGTGGCTAATTTTTTAAATTGCCTCACAAGGTAGGCATTATTTCCATCTTGGGAATGAAAACTTTGTATTTTGGAGAAGGCAATTTGAAAGTGGAGACTTAGTATTTGAACTTGACTTTGGGGCCAGAGCACCTCTGGTCCACCCCACCCCACCACGGGGTGAATTTCCCTACTCTGTGTGCCATCAGCCCAAGGCCCGTTCTCATCCCTGAGCTATTAAGAGGCATTTTCCCAAAGTGCCAGAGAGCATCCTGCTCCCGCCCCTTATCTCAGCAGCCCTGCAGTTCTACAGTCACAAGAATTTATTCAACAATCCCAGAAATAGAGAGACAGTCCCTCTTGCCTTGTATGCTGCTAAAGGGCATTGAGCAAAATGGAGCTGGGGGATGTAAGACTGACCGTGACCCCAAAGAAGTTGGTCTCGTTCATGGCGTTGAGGATGATCCTGCCCAGCGTGTGGTCTGTGTAGTTGAAGTCCTGGATCCGCTGGTGCCGGCTGCTGGCATGCAGTGTCTCCATGGCCCTCTGTAGGGTCTTGGCGATGACCCAGATGCCATCATAGGCGTAGCCGTGGAACTTGCTGGGTCCCACGCCTGATCGCTTGTTGTTGTATTCTCTCTCATACTGCTGTGGAGTCTGGAAAACATGGGGTTAAAGGGCACAAAGTTATAGCAAGCAGGGCATTGTCACAGCGCCAAGAGCTGACATTCTCCAGTGCCTACAATGTGCCAGGCATGGTGCTAGGCTCTAGGTATGTTATCCTCACAACAACCTCACATGGTGGGGGGAATACTATTATTGTTTCCATTTTACAGATGAGGAAACTGAGTTAGGGAATTTGACTTGCTGGGGCCACATAGCTAATGAGTGGCAGGACTGAGATTTGAATCTGGCTATTTGACAAGGCTAGGGTGAAGGAATAATGTACCCTAAGCAGACTCCCACCGGATATTTGCAGTGCCTGGGGTTAGTGGGAGCCCCCATATCCTCTGTCTAAATAATTAACTTACAGATAAGCAAACAAACTATTCAATAAGTGCTTTCTATTTCCCCATCATAATAAACACTGCTTCCCAGTGATCTGGAAGGTTGAGTGAATACAGAATTCTGGGGCTCTTCAGAGTATCTGGCTGGACACAACAGCACAGGGGGCGCTGGCCATGCTGTGACCCACACTCTCCCTTTCCCAGCTCCGTTCTGCAGCCTATAGCCCAGCTCAGTCCACAGGTCCTCCCTCTCCCAGTTTCAGTAGCCCCTTGGCCACCCCAGAGGTGTGACCCCCTGCCCAAGAAAGCTGACCCAGGAATGAGGTCCCCCACCCTCTTGGAAGTGGCTCCAGCCATTTGGGCAAGGAATTCAGGTCACCATCTAGAAGGGGAGCGGGTATAGGCTCCAAGTGGGCATGTGCCTGTGGCCCTGTGGATTTTGAGCTCTGAGGGGTCTGAGTGAGGACTTCTTGGTATGTGGGGCTTAGAGCAGGTCCCATCTGCCCAGGTATTGGGGCTGTTCTGCTGCTACTTTGTGTCACTTCCTCTGTCATCCTCCATACTATAGCAGGTTCTGTGAATAACTTGGCATTAAAAAAGTAATTTTTTCTTCCATTGAGCTGAATTTCATAAAAGAATTTCATTGGTGAGATTAACATTCTGATTATGGCCACAAAGTAATGAAACCGCCCTTTTTACTCCAGTCCCTGGGGCTTGGCCATCCAAATGACTGCCACCCCAGGGGAATCCACTACTCTCAGCCCCTCCATGGGCCTTTCCTCCAGTCACTGCTGAACTCCTCTGCCAGCAATGCCAGCGGAACCCATGGTTTAGCTTTGAAAACTCTCCTTGGGGACAAATCACACATACCAACCAACAACTCCTTGTCAGTTTATACCAGGAAGGCTCTTTGAGACTGTCATTCATACATGCCAGCCAGAGGCACAGAGAGGTCCTGAGACTTGCCTAAGGTTACAAAGCTTGTGTGTGTGTGTGTGTGTGTGTGTGTGTGTGTAGCTAGACTGATCCCATTCCCCCTTTGCTACTTTTCTTATCTACAACTTTGGAAGACACAATTTCATCTTGAAAATCATCCCATTGCTTGGAGCAAGATCTAGCACCCAAGGGAGGGTGGTGGGGCTGAGCCATGGAAGGCTAGGTACACCAGTGGCTGCACTTCCAGTTGGGTCTCTTGTACTTGGTTCAGGGCCTTAGTAGAGTGGGGCTCACGCTCATGCCAGGGGACAACCAGTTCTTTAAACTGGGGACCCCGCAGGCCATGAATTCTGCCTAAACAAATATGAAGGGTGTCCCAGCAACAGATCTACCTGCTTTTTAAAAATTTTGGTCCTTACACGATGGCTCAGGTTTTATCCCTGTTTACAGTTTTCTTTAGAAAAGCATTTTGTTCAGCCATCACATTTTCCTCATCGCTCACAATGTGCGGCAGAAACACTTCAAATCAAGGTTCTTCAAGGCAACCGGCGCCGTCTGTAGCCCCGTTCTTACAGTTATCTCACCCTCCACCTGTGCACGCTGTGGTCCAGGCTGGCTTTCTGCACTCACCCCCCTCCATGTCACTTCTCCTGCGGGAGCAAGAATCGGTCCATTCTGGGCCTCCCTGGTGGCACAGGCAGTTGAGTGCAGCACTGTGAAGCTGTCCGCAGCCTCTTGCAGTGCCGGTTCGATCTCAGCCAGATAGTGAGGGTCCCACATGGTGCGGCAGACCTCTCCTGTCTCACCCGTTGCTCCCCTCAGCAGTGTATTTCATCAGTCTGCCTGTTCTGTTCCCCGCTCTGTCTCTGGTGGATCCTCTCACCCTCCCGCACATCTGGCCTGTACCCCGATTCTTGTATAAATAAAGAGATCTTTAAAAAAAAGGTTAAAAAAAAAAAGAAAAGGTCCATTCTGAGGCTCTTTCTCATCATGTCTCATCCTTTTGTGTCCTTCAATTGCACCAAATTTCTTTGTACCTCAGGGCATTTGCACTAGTTGTTTCCCTGGCCAGAAAACTCCCCCCCACCCCAGGCTCCTTGCAATGTATTGTTGACATTCAAATGTCAACACTTATCACTTCTCAGGGATGTCTTCCCTGACCCACCCTTTCTAACCCCGTTTCACCCAGGCACTATTTACCAGTCTTATATTTTCTATGATATTGTTTACATCCTGTATTTTCCTTTTTCCCTGTTTACTAGCTGATTTTCTCTTTTTCCAACCCTGTCTCTTGGGAATTATGCTCCCTGGGTATCAGGGATGCTATCTGTCTTGATCACTTAGTTAGCACCAGAACCCAAAGCAAGACTGGGTGAGACCCTTTCTAAGTCTCATGTTTTCCAGATGAAAAATGAAGTGATCTAGAAGGTACCTCTTAGCAACAGAGGAAGGAGCACAGAGGTAAAGCCACAGCATTTGGGAGATCTGCCCTCTAGCCCCAGCTCTGTGGTTTGCTGTGACCTGGGGCAGGGTCCTATCTGCCTGGTCTTGGAGTCTGTGCTAGGTGGTGCAGTGAGGTTCAATAAGATGATGCATGCAAAGCACACAGCCCAGTGTCCAGGACATGCTAGGTACCCGACAAGTGCCAGCTGGTGCTATTAATAGCAGAGGGTTGTTCAACTTGGCCATAGCTACAAGCCGTGGATGCCCTGAAGACTCAAGACTGAACCCAGCTGGCTGAGAGCACACAGCCACCCTATAGTGTGCCGATGTCCTGCCTTTAGCATCAATGTCCTGCCTTTACTTCATTTCCAATTATTGGACATTTAGGTTATTTTTAATATTTTCTTGTTATAGGACTGCAGAAAGTACCCCCGTAACTACAATTTCTGAACACACACTGATGATTACTTTTTCAGGATAAATTCCCAGAGGTATAATTGCTGAGGCAAAGGGTGTAAAAAACTTAAATACTACTCATACATATAAGGGGCCATGTTATTCTCCCCAAATATGAAAAGTTAAAATTCCCCTGTGTATTGAATGTACTTATGTCCCTGGAACCTTGACAATAGATATTTTACTTTTTAAAATTATTAATTTACTTTTGTTAAGAAAAGTAAATTAATTTTAATTTGTTATTTTTCTGATTAATGAGTAGAGTGAGCTTCTTTCAAATACCGATGGTCAATTTTTATTCCATAGGTGCATTTCTTCTTTAAACCCTATTGCTGCGCTGATAGTCATACCTTTAATTGTTTTGTTTGAAGGCATCCTGGTTATCTTTCCATCTTTTGCTATTTGGCTGTGTTTTCTTTGATTTCTAAATGTGATTTGGATCTATTTCTGGTTGCTGCTGCAGCAACTGTCTACTTTAAAAGCACTAAAAAATTACTTAAATGTGTATTTCTCTAATTAATTGTGTTACGCATAAAAGGAAAGGCCGCTTTGACTTCTCTCCTGGATTTTGCTCCTGTGAGCTTTCTCTGACGCACACAGGCATCCGAGGGCTGTGGTGTCTGTCTTTTGAGTGCTGTTCCTTCAACCCAATGATAAGATTCAAATGACCTATCGAGACCTCTTCCCCATCCAGAGCATGCCACAGACACATGCTTCGAAGTTTCTACAACCCTCTTAAAGGCAGGGGTCCAGTCCTGAGGTGAACATTCTCCATGGAGTCTCACCAGGAGGTAATCAGTGTAGATTTTAAGCTTCTTTGATATAATTTATTTTATTTCTTTGTTTCTTTCTTGTGAGGACATGAAGGGGACCAAGCTCATATTGATTATTTAGTTTGCTTTTGGGCCAACATAAGTCCCTCCCCGCCCCCCGCCACCACAATATATTTTACATGTACCACCTGCAAACCCCTACCTTCTCTGTCTCACAAAATGTTCTCCTTCCAGAGGTTTAGGGGCAGGAGATAGGTGGAGAATACTGAAAATATGACTGTTTACCTCATTTCTGTGACTAGAGTCCTTGGAACAGGACACAGGTGCAGTTAAGCTCTGAAAGGTGACCTCATTCTCACTGTCTTTGCAAACACTGAGCTGAAGACGTTATCACTACCACATTATATCCCAGGCTATTCATCATCATCCCAAGTGAAGCCAGCACCAATCTCCCTTGGGCAAAACAATGACAGCAGGAAGAAACACTCTCCCAATTGTCTGAGAAAAAGTTATAGTTGTTTTTAAAGCAGGCCTCCAACACTTCAGGGCAGAATTTCTTCCACTGTAAAGCTGACACTGAAAGTTGAGTAATTACTCATTCTCTGAGATCAAGTTTATCATGAGATGTTAAAAGTTTCTGAGAGAATAACTTTATATAGATCGTCCCAATTACTGACAGGTTGTGCTCTAGCATATTTTTGAAAGGCAGTTGTTGGAACTGGGAACATATTTTTTCCCATAGAAACTATGTTATAAATAGAGGTTAGGTTCCCGGCGAGCCCACACAAGCGTGCAAACCCACAATGTGACTAGACTTCATGGGTCTGTCATTCCAACAGGACCAAGCTAGCTGAGTCCTGCTTTGTGGGAGAAGGGAGCCTCATGGGAAAAGGGAGAAAAAGGACGTGTCCCCCTCTATGTCTCCAGTGACAACCCCACAGCTGGGAAACAGGTAGTTTCTCTCCAGCTTCCCTTGTGGATGTTGGAATCAAAGTCTCATTTAGAAGGTACAGCAGGAGATATTTGTTTAGTGTGACTCCTG